GTGTGTGTATGTCTGTCTGTGTGTGTGTATCTGTGTCTGCTCAAAGTGTGTGTGTATTCAGTAGCCCCGGTCAGTGTGTGTGTGTGTGTATCTATCTCTGTCAGTGTGTGTGTGTGTATGTCTGTCAGTGTGTGTGTATCTATGTCTGTCAGTGTGTGTGTGTGTATCCATGTCTGTCAGTGTGTGTGTGTATGTATATGTCTCTGTCCATGTGTCTGTGTGTATCTAAATGTCTGTGTGTGTGTGTCTGTCAGTGTGTCTTTGTGTGTCTTCTTCCCTATCATTGTGTATGTGTGTCTGTATGTCACTGTGTGTTTATCTGTATGTCTGTCAGTGTTTGTGTGTACCTGTGTGTCTATCTGAATGGGTATCAGTTTGTGTATATGTATATCTGCATGTGTCAGTGTGTGTATCTTTGTGTATGTGTATCACAGTGTGTGCATGTGTGGCAGTGTATGTGTATATGTGCATATATCTCATTCAAACACAACACTACACACAAATAAACACCTGCATGCAAACGTCAACACTACATACAAACACACCTCTGTATCAGACACCAAAATTATATATAAACACACACCTGCGTTCAAAAACCAACACTACACATAAATGCATGCTTGCATTCAAATGCAAACACTACATACAAACACACCGCTACAATCATACAAACATACTCCATACAAACACATGCTTACAGTCAAACACACAAATACTGCTCCATGCTAAATACAATCCTGCAAGCATGGGGAATCGGTAGAGCCCCAGCTTTCAAAGCATTGTTGAAGTTTCACGACAGATGGGGATCTATCTTTTAGCCATCCTGTGTACATACACAGACCGTCATACAGAGACATACAGTATGTATGTCTCTGTATGACTGTGTAAATGTATTCAAAAGGAATAAACGCAGGCAACACTCCAATAGTAATGATGGTATATTTATTGATAGGTGAACCACCCCAAAGAAAGGGCGTCGTTTCGGCTCAGCAGAGCCTTATTACATGAGCTGAAACATCACACTTTCTATGGGGTGGTTCACCTACCAATAAATATACCATCCTTACTATTGGAGTGTTGCCTGCGTTTATTCCTTTTGAAGACTTTACTGGTGGATCCAGCAATGTCTGCCTGACATGGAGCATCCACCTCTGTTGATGGCCGGAGCATTTACACGGTATCAGTGTGCAGGGTTCTTTGTTTGTCTGTGTATGTATGTCTCTGTATGCCTATCTCTGTTTCTTTATGTCTGTGTATGTATTTCTGTGAGTGCCTGTGTCTTTATGAATGTATGTCTGTGTTTGTACGATAATGTACCTATATGTGTAGATTGTATGACTGTGTTTGTTTGTGTGCCTTTTATGACTGTGTGTCTGTATATCTTTGTGACTGTGTGCCTGAAAAATTATGTCTGTGTGTTTGTATGGTTGTGTGTCTGTATGTTTGTGTATTTGTGCATGTATGTATTTTTGCCTGTATCTATGTCTATGTGGGAGAAAAAGAGAGATAGATAGGGGCTGGCGGGGAAGTAAGAAATACATAAGAGGGGTTGTAGGAGACACACTAAAGGGATATGCAACACTAATGGGGGTAAGAAATTCAAAAGGGGGCTACGAGACACAGAGGTGAAGATGCATTGTTTATTTTTTTTTGGGGGGGGGGGCGTCAAAATGCATCTTCGCCTGTGTAGTCAAAAATCCTAGCACCGGCCCTGCCTGACTGCATAACCTTGTTTCACATTGAATGTGATGTAGAGAGGGTGAGTGACTGCCACCACGATTACTGAGCTAAACCCAAATTCATGGTGCAATTGTGCTGACATCATTATAAACATTTATGTATGTAACGTGACAATGTCTTTTACCCCCTGTCCTCCTCCTCCGCCTTCCTTTTCTTCTTACTCCCCCTTCCCCCAATTCCTCTGCAAAACACATTTTTTAATCTAATGTCTCCTGCTGTAAAGCTTCCCTACTTTTGTGCTGTATGGACATAGGGATCTGACAGGTAGGAAGTGGAGCTGAGGTTTCCTCATGCACACATCTCCCCACAGTCCAGGATCTGGTGGAACTAGCCTGATTTTAAGTGAGCTGTCATTCAGTCTGCTGTGTGTTCAAACCAAACTAATGTGCCTCTTCTTTGGGCGGCCCTGCACCCTATCCAGGCATGATGACCCATCCTGGACATTGCCAGTGATGTAAGTGGCATCAGACTGAAATGCCCTCATAGACCTGTCCCATCTCCTGTCACAATTTAGGACCTCCTGATGTAGGAAGGTATGCCATCATCTTCTAAAACCAACAATGAGTAAAGTGTGTTTGTGTAATTCCTCTCATACCTTTAACAGAGAACTCCCTATGTTCAGGTGACTCCATAGATACATGTCTCCATGTCACACGGACTTTACAGTTGGGATCACTGAACCAAGCAGCAGGGATAGGCTGTCTGATCACAGTATTGTAAGTTCCATCAGAATTCATTGTACATTCCGGGTTCTTTATATCAGGAAGTTGCCGATGGTCACAGCTCCAGCTAATGTCAATGTGTTTCGGATAAAACTTGCGCAGGTTGATGCAGAGTTGAACTTCTTCAGTATTGCAGATAGTGAACTTAGCTGGCTCAATGAACTGGGGTTTGGCTGTAACGCAGGGTCAAAAGGTCAAAAAAAATCAAGGAAGCTGTCACCAATATAATTTAACAAATTCACAGCCAGAATGATAAAAGCGTTAATGGAAACTCCAAACTTGATATCTGCAGAGTTTAAATGGACCAGAAGTTATCCACCAACAGAACAAAACATAGCAAGACAAGGCTGATGGAAAAT